GGCGCTCGCAACTGCTTAAGGGCATATACGCGTGCGGAACACAATCAGAATTTTCAGTTTGGTAGGAGTAGGAATTATTTTGAATTTGCCCGGGTGACAGCCGAAGCCTACTCTTATCGATTTTAGGACTACCAAGGGATCCTAAAAGGAGTTAAGGTGCGCAACTTGCACGCAAGACCTCCGAGATTTTTTCGCCCTTATCCGAGAAGGCTAGGTCTAGCATCTGCGTTTGTTGCCATTTTTTTGTCCAAAAGTTGCCACAAAAATGGCAAAAGTAGCCAAAAAAGTCGCCACTATTTTCAAGCTTTCAGCTCTCTGTGCCGACGTATATTATATAGCATATTGATAGAGGTAACTTCACCTAAAGCACCGGAATTTCTTGTGTTCTGTTTTATGCAACCAGAATATCATTTGTAGCCACACAGGATGTAAAACATGATCAGAGTAGGTTTCAGCCGCCATCCGGGCAAAATTCAAAATTTCCTACCAACTGAAAAAACGTGTCCCGCGCGCTCATATGACCTAATGCTGTTGCGAGCGCCGTAAAACAGTTACCACCCCCCCCTAAAAAAACAACAACAAAAAACAACAACACCAAAAACCGAAAAAAAAGAACACATGATCAGAACAATAACAAGGAAAATTAAAACACAATAAAGATAGACAAATTAAAGGGAAACAGCAATACATAAATGGTATGTAATGTACTTATTCTTCACATGAAATTTCATTGAAAATGACAAAACGTGGTGTCAACAAGTGAGAAAGAGAAGAAGTGAAGAGGAAGTGAAAGTAAACTTTCTAGTTTTTCTTTCTAAACGTAAAATTAATGAGGTTCGGTTACTTTATTTTTGGGGGTTTAGTATGTTTTCTTTTTTAGTTTCTCGATTTTTATTCCCCAGGGTTTGTTTTTCGATAATTTATTCCCGAGCGGAGTTTTTTTTTTTTATATGCAAAAATCGCGGACCAAAATTTGTAAAAAATCGCGGTCGCGACAAACGCAGGCTAGCTAGCTGTAGATCTTACCGTCGCAAAAATCACGGGTGTGGCTGAAAGACAGTAGTAAGGAGCCAAGCAGTAGCAGAAGAAAGGCTGCTGAATGCGTCATGAGTCCAGAGGAGGCGGCAGATAGTGAAGACGAAAGACGACAGAACATGGTAAAAGAGCAGGATAGGTGAAAGGAAAACATTTAAGAGAAGAGCATTTTCCGTCACTGTCAGGTTTCAAACCCGGGACCCATGCAATGAGAGGCGAACACCGTACCTCTTGACCACGAGACCCTCTTAGCACAATGTGATACAATGTAGTCTAAATAAAGTCTTCTACTTCTATCTGCATTACTGAAATTATTTATTAGTTGAGTTTCGAAGATCACTACAATATATAGCTTATTCAACAGTACTGGCTAGCCTTTAGCCGATTCATTCAGAGTGTAAATCATGAGCAGCTTGACATATAAATATGCACTGTATAATACATGTAAATTGTAAATGAAGGGAACAAGGGAAAAACAAGAGCTGTGAGTTTTAGGGCAATCTGAGTTGTGAGGATTGTTGCAGAGTTTACACGCACCTCTTTGGGCCCGTCTAAGTGTCCAGGGCTAAAACCTGATGAGTCGCCCAACATCAGGTTTGGAAAATAAGCTACACAATGGAAAAACGTGGGCTGTCATGTATTTCATGTTCTCAAAATGCTAAAAAGTGATATCACCTTGTTTTTCCCTTGTGCCCTTCATGATGCAATAATGATTGCATTTGTTTAGTGCACACCATGCTCTACAGCAAGCTCTATGACCTTTACAACTATTCGTATCAAACAGTTACATGTACCACCGCTGGGAAAAGGAATGTGTATCATAGTCATAGATCTGTTATAGTCATAAATCTGTGGTAGATCAAGCACCCACTGTCTACTTTTCATTCCATCATAATCTAGTTAGTTACAAGTCTGGCTACCCCATGGGGAGACAAAGTGACGATGTGGCGCCAGACGGGCGTCAGGCTAAGACACTTGAGGCACCGATAGGATAATCTGGGTTAACGACAAAGGGCATCCATCTTTCTCCCCCCTCTCCCCTCCTTCACATACATGGTGTGACACATCCTAATCAACTTAGTTCCCTTGTAGATCATGTTGATGTAGGTACAATTTGACCATGGATGTTGTTTTGCTTCGTTTGCTTTTTTTCTGCTTTCTTTTTCAATTGTTTTGTCAATGGTTCGACCACTTTTATGGCTAAGCATGCCTCTTCACAAATCTTGCTATACTGTAAACCCAACTTTTTTTTACCATACATTATAAGAAAGCAGGCTCAGGGATTTATTATTAGCCTGCTATAGCTGAAATCCTGTTATAACCAAGACATTTATACGTATGTAAATGGGGTCCACTGTACATAGAACATAGAATCATCCCTTGCCTTATAGTTAGGCTGCCATTTTCAAAGGTACTCTAAAATAATTATACTAACGAGAGGTTTCAGTTTTTGATAAGAATTAATTTTTAATTTGGCTCTAATTCTAATGGTGGCCCAGAGGGCCTACTCCTTTCGATCTTACAACCACCAAGGGTTCTTCCTTAATCCGCAAAACTTCCACATCGAACCTTTGAAGCTTTTTGACCTTATCCGAGAAGATCAGCTGCTTGATCCCACCTACCCTAGGGTTAAAGTGTAGAAAATATGAGGTAAAAAAACCTGATACTGGTAGAGATTGAACTCTGAACCCCCGAGCTGGGATGCAAACACCATACCTATTGATCTACTGAGCCCTTCCTTAAAGAATTTCAAAACCAAAAGCGGATCAAGTAAGCTCAGCAATTTATTCATCATCAGTCAAACGTACAAACATATCTTTAAATCATTTGACTTACATTCCTAGACAGAATAAACAGCAGGCAAAAACAAAAACCAAACTTTGTCTTACACCCATACTGTTCTCTTTACTCAAAACTTTCTGGTGTTCGTTGATTCAACAAAAAAAACCCACTATTCTTATAAGTCAGCTCAACAACAATCTAAGTAATCCGTGAAACATCTGTGCCGGTGATCACCTGTGTGCAATTGGCTCATTAGATATATACCAACTTTGTTAAATACGATCAAACCAAGTGAAATGAAAAGGGTTCAATCACCCAAAGGACTCATTTTTCTCAGACTTTTGTCATGTTTTGCTTTACATGAAAGGAAAACAGGAAACGAAGTACACCAGACTTTACAAACTGACTAGTGAAGTTGCAGCCACCATTCTTTGAAAAGAAATTTTGAGTTTTTCTTTGGAATACTCTAAAAGAACCAGCTCATATCTTCATGGTCCACTTTGATGGTAAATCAATATATGACACAAAACAACTGGGGAAGATATCACATAGCCATGTTGTTCACCCTAGAGGCTAAAAGGAAAGAAGCTTTAAAAACTAACGTCTTCTCCCTACAAGGGGTATACAAAGCACATGAAAAGCATTATAACAAGAAACTGTAATCCGTTAGAAAGAGGGTCCAAAGACTAAACACAGAATTATTCTGTGAAACAAGCTTTTGGCATCTGCACCCATCACCTCTACTCTTCACAATTAAACAAACAGAGCCTTTCTACACCTAGAATTCTCTTGAGTGGCATCTTTTGTACTGTCTATATTCATTTCATAGGAGAAATGACCTCCCAATTCCAAAAAATGGAAACAGGCATTCCATAGTGTTCAAGAGAATAGACATTGAGCCATAATATGAAAAACAGCATTCTAAGGGAGGAAAATCACGTAGTATTTCACTTTACTTCACACACAACTCTTCACAGGCATACAAAAATTTATGTACTCTTTACACAAAAAGGGGAAGCTACAGACAGCAAAAATCATTTCTTTTTGCCAGTGAGGCCAGCGCCTGCGTTGAATTTGAAGAAAATGATATCGCCGTCGTTGACAACGTAGTCTCTACCTTTCTGCTTGTATTTGCCATGAGCCTGAGGACAGACAGTAAAGAGTAAAATTTAACATTTATTGTAGTATAAAGGCATCGAGGGGTGTGTGTGTGTGTGTGTGTGTGTGTGTGTGTGTGTGTGTGTGTGTGTGTGTGTGTGTGTGTGTGTGTGAGTGTGCGTGTGTGTGTGAGAAAGAGAGAGTGGGAGGGAAGGAGGGAGGAAAGAAAACTTACATTGGGGCAACCCGTATTGTTCTCTCTTTGATCTGAATGAACTAATATTTAAAATACAACCTGTTGTGATCAGACTAAAAATGTCTTACGTCCAGTCTTCATTCTCACTTCTATGTCATAAAATAAGTCAATGTCCATAGAGCCACATCACAACAATAGACACAAAGAGAAAGAGGGACATAAAAGGGGGGTCAGATGAAGACACTGCTCATTGAAGTTAGTTTCTACTTACTCTAAGAAACATGCTATAGTAGTTTTCATTAATGTACTTTAACTGTTATGTCACGGTAAATTTGGAAATCAGGAAAGTCAAAATAACATGAATATTCTGGATCAATCATAAATAAATGGACATGATGAAAAAAAAAGTGCTATATAATGGAAATAATCAGTTAAGTAAATTTGACAGCATAAACAAAACAGTAAAAGAGGTAATGCTTCCACCATTAACAAGGAAAATGCATCCCTCTTTCGTGGCAAATTGAGTTTACAAGACGAAAAGTCAACCTTTATTTCTATACAAGTCTAAAACTAGACTAGAGATATTCTCAGATATAGTCATTTTGAAGGTGGAGCTCTTGACCCAAGAAAAGCAAAGAAGAGAAGCAGAGATGCCAACCACAGAAAACCGAAATGAGTATTGGGAAATATGAAAATGTGTATTTTCAGGGGAAAATGTGTATTCCCCACGACTGACCGACGAACCAGTAATAGTAAAATATTCAGGGTATCCAGCAATATTTCCTGAAAAAAAATTACTAGCTCACCAGCTCGAAAAAGGGAGTACACACGTGTACAATATACATGTATCCAGTCAACAACATGTCAGTGTTCAGTGTCGTACTGAGGTCTTGTTTGACTTAAGTATTTCAGTCTATTATATAATATTTTCCTCTCATTATTATATAAAAAATAAATCCTGCTTTGAGAGTTCGGAAGGGCCTAGAACAAGAAATTCGACTATCAAGAACCAGTCTGGGTGTCATGATTCATATTATGAACTGACAGACTCAAATTATTGCTCAAACTCAGAGAAAAGCAATAACTTGAATGGCTCAAGGAGACCCATGCACTGTGAGAGTTGTAACAACTGTGGTAGGGCAAGATGCAGTGACACTGAAAATCTGCCAGTCTTGAACAGATAGCTACAATATACACTGTAGGTATAATTTACTATCACCCATCCAATGAAACGCGCACACTTTATTTCAATAACACAGACTTGCAAAGTATGAGGGGTCCCGATTCCGCACACGGCCTGCACCAACGCGCGCTTTGCAAAAAGCTCTAATCAAAATTCTGAAATGTGCTTCCAAGTTTTTATCCTCTGGTGTTGCCTTAACCCCCGGATAGTATCTTAAACCCCCCAAAAAATCAATAATCTCCTCCCTTATTCCGTAGTCATATACTTCGCAACGCCGTTACTCCCACCAAAGACGGTCTTTACTCACACGATGCCGCATTTATTTATGATGCGAATGCGCGCAGGTTCAGTGACCGGTCACGGTGGCGAGCCAGCCAATTTAAAAATCGGACGACGCTTGGATTTTATTATTTTTTTTTCCCCCCACAAGTGACAGCACAGCGACGAGTCCGAGCATTTATTACATTTTATTTGCATGGTGACATTGCGTTTAAACAGCACAACCTGCATGTCACAAATGTTGCGTTATCAGACAACTGCTGGCAAACTTCTCTGTGGTGACGAAAGCGAAAGTTGATCTTGATTTTCCCAACCCAGCCTTGGTGTCACATACTCTTTCGCCTGCCGCCATAGTTGCCTATTCGCGTGAAAGTGAAACGTACTCTCCGGACGGGGAAAAGCTGAACGAATACAATATCACGATCCCGACCGGCAAGTCCAAATCGGACTTGGTCTTCAAATATTCCAGTTCCGCGACACTGATACTATTTTGACAAAAGATGAGACTTGAGATAATTAGGTTTACTCACCCAAGCTGAACCTTGTATTTTTCGCATTCCAGGATGCGTATTTTTTCATGAAAAGTCGTATTCGCGTATTTTCGGCAAAAAATCGTACTAAAATACGTAAAATCGTACTGGTTGGCATCTCTGGAGAAGAAAGAACAGAGGTGGAACTACAAAGTCCACTTTATAACATGTTACACCTGCATGTGAGCCTCAACCAGATTGTCTGAAAATTTTGCGCACCCCCCCCAATAACTTATAAGAGCTTTTAAATTGTGGGTGTCATAAAAGGAAGGACTTCCGAGTAACGAGCGACCACCCGAACAAACACAATAAAGAAGAGACCTAACCCTAACCCAAACCCTACCCCTAGGCCTAACCCAAAAAAGAACCTGCAATGGCCCTCATGTAAAAAGGCCAGCACAAGTCAACAAAAAAAAGAAGAAAAAAAAGGCACACTCCAAAACAAACAAGGAGCATAATAATAATATGGCCAACATTGCTATATATAAAGAGTTTGATACAATAATACAACAGAATTGGAATATGAATCCTCCATATAAATCTAGATCTAGATCTAGTTATATTATTATTATAGATCTAGTGATCTAAATAAATCTAGAATAGATCTAATAGAACAAGTGAATAGGAATAGGCCTTGATTTTTTCAACGAGAAATCCGCATCCGATTCCGAACAGAGGGACTCAGCTGAGTCTAGATTAGATCTTTATTCTAAGTAAATAATTCACGCACCTGATAAAATGCGTTTTACCAACATTAATATTACAGCACAACCTATAATAGGGTTTGACACAATAGAAGTGGAATATGAATCCTCCATTGAGGTCTATAATGATCTATAAATCTAGATCTAGAGTAGAACAAGTGAGTTGGACTTGAAAGAATCCACATGATGAGAACAATCAGTAAACAAACGAAATTCAAAATGGCCGCTCGAGCACGAAACTGAAAGTAGATAATTTAGGTTGTCGTACTTTTTCCTATTCATAATTCTACTCAGGTTCCGACAATTATGTCGAAAACGAAAACGAAAGTGCCGACAAAGCTGACGGGAGAAAAAGGGGGCGCTGGCAGTCGGCCAGGCCTCGTACTTCGCATATTGACTAATACAGGTGGGCCTAGCGATAGCATCGGCCGGCTCGCGGGTCGGGTCGCGATTGTCGGATTTCAGACGATTGTCGGCAAACATGCAGGTCTAAACATGTGCTTCTAAGAAAATGTTTGTGCATGTTAAATATGCTTAGAGTTTGCATGTTTTACTGGTGTGCAGTTGGTGTAGGTGTTTATAAAACCCCTCAATCAGAACATTGCAAAACGGAAAGCAAATGCAGGTGTCTCCAATCGTTTCACTGATTATTTTGCCTGCACAAATTCAATGTTCCACAGACCTTCGAAAGCACAACAGCCCAAAGCAGGAGCATATTCAGTTGTGTAATTTCTTCTGTACCTTGATATGATAGACAATAATGGATACATGGCTGAATGTAAAAAAACAACCCATCTCATCAATGTCTCACCTTGACTTCATTCTCAGTTTTATGCTCAAAGAAGTCGTCATAGGCCATGACCTCAGCCATGATGAATCCTTTCTCAAAGTCTGTGTGGATTCTGCCCGCCGCCCCTGGTGCCTTGGTACCATTCTGCACATGAGGATAGAAAAAGAAAATGAACATTCGATAGAAATGGCATTTGAAAAAAATTAAGTGTGCTTTTTTTTCACATCTTTGTGCTCCACAAAATAGACATACACATCACTGAATACACACAAATACAGTGGAAACCTGACATAACAGGGATGGTGGGACCAGAGGAAAAGTCCTGTTATATCAGATCCCTGTTAAATCAGAAATGCAAGGGACGTAAGTATTTGTTGACTAATCCAGCGTGCGTGTAGCTAGGTATAGGGCTAGATTGAAGTCTGCAGCACACCGCAGCCCTCCCTAGTTTCACACGCAGCGTGTGCTTGCAGTGGCGTGGCTTGCGTGGGCTTGCTCCGTCACTGCGTTTCTCTCTCTCTTACTTTTTACACATTGTTAACGATCCTTTGTCCCTGCTATAACTGATTGGGCTCCGATGAGGCCCTGTTATTGTCGATAGTTTTTAATAGAGACAAAGAGTGGGAAAACGGGAATTTAAAAAATCCCTGTTATTACTGGATCCCTGTTATTAACGGGTCTGTTATATATATGGTTTCCAATGTACTACAAACACGCTAAAGTAAAAAAAAACCAACCCAACAACTTCCAACACCCAAGGACAGCTACATCTGCATTAGGTCACAAAGCCTCTCTGAACTCTCTCTTCCTTTTTATAGTTTTATCTCACTATCTTGGGCACAGTGGACACCAACAGACAAATATGACCATGGCGACATTGACAGCAGAATTACAAAGTTAATAATGATAATAATTGCATTTATATAGTGCTGTCTATCTGTTCTGTACCTAGTTTTCAGAAATTCGACGTAGAATTTTTCAAAGTTCCATAATATGTCAAGCTTTTTCTAACGCAATTCCTAGAATATCTTGATCATAACTCAGAATAATCTAACGATTTTGATAGAGCAGATAAGAGCCTTTGGTTTCTGCCGGGACTGCCCTCATGATCTTATGATCGATTGAGTAGGTGTTTTACGGCACTATCGACTCACTTTTGGTCATGTAAGTGCCATCTCATGATCTTATGTTGTTTTAGTAGAGTTTTAGCGCCGCTTGCAACTGCACAAGGTCATATGAGCGCCAGAAGATCAGAGGTGTTACAAGGGAGTAACAAACATAAAAAAGGAGGGGAGATAAGGACGATAGATGTTTAATAGGAAAGAAGAAGCAAACCAAACCAGAACACCCGCCAACCACCCACTCATGATCTTAGTAACTCAAAATGGGCAAAAATATCAGATAAAACTTTGTCATTCTGAGGTAGCGAGGTGACAGGTAATCCCACTGTCAAGCTTAAAACACTGTAAATGATGGATATGCAATCTACATGTACAAGAAGGGAAATATGAGAATGAAAATGGGATGTGAAGAGCAATGATAGCAAAGGCAACACATTTTTCAAAGGACAAGTTTGCATATGGTACTAGCATGAATAGTCACAGCACATGGTAAAGTATTATATATAAGCAATGACATCCAAATCAATCAAAAGTTACAAGAAAACAGAAACTTCAGATATGAAAAAAGAATCCTTTAAAAAAATCATTAAAGTCTCTAACCTTCGGAGATTATATGAAAGCTAAAATCAATCAGAGATTTACTGAATTTAATCCATTCACACTTAGCAGGCAGGCCAGCTGGGACCTCCCTTACCTTAAAAGAAGGGGAATAACTCTGCAAAACTGAATGAGCTAAATAACTAATTATTACGCAAAATTGTAGGAGAATGAAATACCGTGGAACTCGGATTTAACGAGCTCGGATTCAAAGAGAACTCGGATTCAACAAGATGAAATAGATTCCATTTTTATTTTTCTTTAAAATCAATAAAAGTAAACCGGTTTCAACGAGCACTTAAATCAGCAAGCTCGGATTCAACGAGGTTGCTTCCAGGGTGAACATCCCCCGCAGACGTGGCTTCGGTAATTTTTCTCCCAGAACGAACTTTATCTATTCCCGGAAACCATTCATTGCACCTGCATCGTGAACCATTATTCAGGGCCTTTTAAAATACCAACAAATGTGTTGTTGGCACGCGCACGTGACTACTCTGGCGTGTGTTGGGGTCGGATGGGCGGCCTGCACACATGTGGCTGTGTGTGCATGTCGGGGAGGGGGGAGGGGGGAACTAGCGGTCCAGGCATTGAACGTCGCATACAAACGCGTCATAGTCTTTTTACCCCCTCCGCAACTGACCATTATTACAATGAGAAGCTAGTCTTGACGTAGATCTACGTACTGAATTGTGCGCTGGTCTATGGAATCTAAAGTTGCCGTATGCTAGGCTCTACGCAGCAACACAACTTTTTGGTAAACAATCGAGATGACACAGGCGTGTGCATTTGAACGAATCGGTCTTTTTTTTTACACAGCTCATAATATGCCGGCATTTCAGGCACAACTTTTGACTTCTCTTATACATTACTTGCTCAGTGCCTGTAATTATCTACACAAAACTTTGTGTTTGCTATAACGAACACTCACTGTAGTATGAAAAGATATGAAAGGTTTTTTATGAGGTGTGTGTCTCGGAAGAATCACAGAAACAGATGTACAGAAAAGTGGGAAGACATGGAATAACATCAAGAGGCTAGCTCAGGATAGAGAAATGTGGAGAGTGTTTGTTCGTGGCCTACACCCTAGTGCAGGGTGAGAAAGGCAATTATGATTATAATATTATGTCTTGGATTCTGAGAGCACTCATTGCACCAATGATGGGCACGGTTGTAAAACAGTCACATAAAATCACAAAAACATACTACACCGAAAACAAAGCCTCAGAAAGAAAAATAAATATAATACAGTGGAACTCGGATTCAACGAGGTCGCCGGGACTGACCTAAAACCTCGTTGAATCTGAGTGTTCGTTATAGCAAACATGAGGATTTTTGTAGATAATTACAGGCACTGAGCACATAACGTGTAAAGAGAAGTAACAAGTAGTGCCTGAAATGCCTGCATATTATAAACTGTGTAAAAAAAGAACTAATTCGTTCAAATGCAGGCCTGTGTCATCTTAATTGTTTGCCAAAAAGTTGTGTTGCTGTGTAGAGCTTAGCATATGGCAAACGTTTGATTCCATAGACCAACGCTCAATTCATTACGTAGATCTACGTCAATACAGTGGAATCCTGTTATAACGAGAGGTAGGGGACCGGAGCAAAATGTCCGTTATAGCAGGATTCTCGCTACAAGGGATCCAGTAATAAATTCAACGGAAACTGTAAAATAGGCCTAATCTAAGAGTTTGGTGTTCTGTTTTTCCTTTTGCTATCTCCCCTGATGATGATTTTGTTTCAACATGACCTCTAGGTCTTACTTAATCAAAAATCGAATCAGGTTTCTTTCTCTAGCTTTAGATCTAGCGATGTAGACTGACAGCTCGGCGTTGGCGATCAGAAAGAAAGGGCTCTGAGCTAACTCACCCGCTGTGTCCCCCCCCCCCCCCCCCACCCTGTCGTGCATTCTGTCTGCTTGCGCACGTCACACATTCGCACCATTCATCTGTGACCTCTCCATCCCCGCATTGGAGAAGTGAGAGGCATGGTAGGCCTTGATAATCTAAACTAGGCTTACGCTGGCCTATCACGCGATGCGTTCTGCTTGTCTGCACATGCCACACCCTCCCTACTCAGTTGCGCCAGCCTTCATTGTTGACGCACATGGGCTCTCCTATTCTTTGTTTCGTAAGATCACCAACAAGTTTCTCAACTGGCGAGGTTTTGCATAATGTATAATTGACCTATGCGCTGTGCACAGCAGAAACAATATTCCGCTTTAACCGACTCGCATGTTTGTCTGATAGTGCTATAGCAGTATTTTATTTACAAAGGTAAAGAGGAGAAAAAAAACAGACGGACTCGTTATAAGTGGACTCCATTGCACTAGCTTATATAATAATGATCAGTTGCTGAGGGGGAAAAAAGACTGTGTGACGCGTTTGTATCTGCGACGTTCAACGCCCAGACTGCTTGCGCACGTCACACATTCGCTCCAAGATCCATCACAGCATTCACAGCACTGTGACCTCTCCATCCCCGCATTGGAGAAGTGAGAGGCATGATAGGCTTAGATAATCTAGACTAGGCTGCCTATCACTATCAGGCAATGCGTTCTGCTTCACAACAGCTTGTCTGCGCGTGCCACACCCTCCCCACTCATTCGCTCCATCCTGCATCGTTGGCACACATGGGCTCTCCCATTCTTTGTTTCGCTTGATCACCAACAAGTTTCTCAACTGGCGAGATTTTCATGAATAAAAATGGCCTATGCGCTGTGCACAGCAGCAGCAATATTCCGCTATAACTGACTCGCACTTTTATCTGATTGCGCTATAGCAGTATTTTATTTACAAAGACAAAGAAGAGAAAAAAACAGTATTTTAGAATAATGTCTTTATAACAGACTTCTCGTTATTTCAGGACTCGTTATAAGTGGACTCCACTGTATCACAATTGAAATCAATCAAACCCTGATACAGAGGAACCTCTCTAGCCACAACCTATCCTGGACAATCACCTTTACAATAGACCACGTCCCCCTAGCATTTTTCTATTGTGTAAGAACAAAAGAAATTGTGGAAGATGACCACTCTTCACCTTGACAATGGATAGCTGTCTTGGAGCCGTTCTGCGGTATGTTTGTCACTTCCATCAACAACAAACTGTTTCAAACATTGTCACTACAGTCTGGACATTATCACCATCACAACAAAAGTTTACCTGAATAGTCCAGGCTTTGACCTCATCTTTTCCAGCGGTGAAAAAGTAACTGAGACCCAGAGCTTTGTAGCCAGTCACAACGATTTTCTCAAGAGCACTGTAAAAAGGATCAAATAGTCGAACTAAAATGAGCAATTTTGAAGGAAAGACAACTCTAGCAAACACAGGAAGCTGATAACTGATTACTGCCCCTAACGATACAAAGAATGGACTAAAAGTAAAAAACACAAAATTTGTAAGTTATTGTATTGTTTACCAACTTTAATAGCACAAATGCGTGCTTTGGGTGCATTAAATGATAATTATCATAAATGCAGGGATACACCTAAAACTGTACTTTGAAAAGCACCAAAAATTAAGTCAGCCCAGACAGAGCGGCGACAGGGAGCTGACCCCCGTGACCCCGACGTGATAAGGCGCTCGGCGGGGAACCCCCTGCTACAACTAAAATTCCACTGCCGGTGCGTCGAGGTGTGTGTGAATATGCACAAAACTTATCTCGCTGTCTATAGGTGTGAATAAATAGAAAACTTACCTCACAGTTCCCTTCTCCTTCAGGAGGTTGTCTCTCTCCTCTTGCGTCTCGAGGTCCAGCAGATCCTGTTCCAGGGCTCCACTGAACAAGATCACCGTGGCACCTGGGTCGTTGGCATCGATCCATTCCTTGATCTTCAGGAGCCTGGGACATGGGGGAAAAACATGGATAAAATAATCAACTGTCTTTCCACATACTAAACACAAAAGACTGAAGACATGCTTTTCTTTCGTTGAAAATAAGTGAGTCTGTATCATAACAATAAAATTTAAAAAATATGTGGACGATAATCATGATAACAGAGACTGTTTGCTTTAGCAAGAGTTATACGGCGCTCGCAACTGCATAAGATCATATGAGCGCGCTAACAGAGACTGACATGATACATATCATAAAATGTTGGATAGTACTAAAATATTTCAGAGATGCAAAACAATGGTAATTGAAAAGACAACCTGAACACTGCCAAAACCCAATAAAGTCAGTGATTATCAATACAGTCCAAGCCGGTCATTGGGAGAAAGCATAAGCGTGCTTAATGCCGAAGAGTGTTTGAGTGCGAAGTAGACATTGTTCATAATCCAGGGATTTTTAAGTTGAAAATTTCCTGAGTTATTACCCTTTGTTCGTAAGTAGTGGTCGCGCAAATGTGTGCGATGTCATTTTTACTCTCCATGGTAGTTTTTGTTTGTTTGTTTTGTTTTGTGGTCGAATCAAAGTAGTGGAGTATCTTTGGTCGAATGGGAAAGGAAAACTTAATTCAGACGGCCAGTCATGGTACAGCACACTAGGCCTGGGATTACACACTGCATGTGCATACCACTGCCCGTTGTGCCACATTCATCCCACCTCACGCGTGATACATAATCAGGATTATCGGATACCGAGACGCAAAGGTGAAATCGCAGCCTGCCTCCCTTTCTCGTCACCCCCGACTCTTTGTATTTTTTTCGTCTGTGTGTAGATTTGCCCTAGGCTAGATTCTATGTCCACGCGCGCGGATGTGTGCATCTCTCTGCCTTCCTCTCTGTGGGTGTATGTGTCCATCACTTGCGTTCTTTCACGCAACACACTCACTGTTGCGGTGTAGACTCTGTTCGAACTTCGATGGGTCATCATGACATGAAAGTATTGACTGTCTTGCAAATGAAGTGAGCCTGAAGCCGAAGTTACCCTGCTTAACCCTTAAAATCCTATACCGCTGGTAACCGCTGACGCTGTATTTTCCTATACTGCTGGTCGACTTTATCGTTTAATTCCCGGTGCTAGAAACAGGAGATGTAACTCCAGATGACTCTGTCACGAGCAGAAAGTACCGATAATGTCATGAGAGCAGTTCTACACCGAAAGTTTGGAAATTTTGCGAGTTTTAAGAAAAATTAGTGACTTTTCGCTGCCCCAGACCCCAATAATGATCTCCCAGTCGGATATATCGATAATATGACCGTTGAAGACGATTGCAATGTTCCGCATAACATCGATGATGATTTTGAGAATAGTGGAATTGGCAGGGGTCCACCACTAAAGCTACCAGAGGCTAGATCTACGGCTGGGTCTAATGATACTTTGACTGAAGAGAAGTTGGGGATCACACACAAGACTTAACTCATAGAGTTGGTCCTAAATACCAGTGTTTTAACCTTTTCCCCTTTTGTTCAAACAGTGCATTCATATATATATATATAAATAACATTTTCAAACTTCAGTAAAATCTAACAACAATTAAAGACACAGTAAATAAAACAATGAAAAAACCTAATTTTTTCTAGTATCGCAATTTTAATTCAGGGTTCTAGGGAGGTATGAAAAAAAAGAATTTGGGGTTTTAAGGGTTAAAGGTGTGTAATTTATATAGTAAAAATTCGGTAAGAGCCGCTTAGCGTGCTAGAGTCTGAAACGTGCTTTATGGCGGAGCGCTTAAAGCCGACACGGACTGTATTCATAAATACCATTTGTTTTTCCTCCTGATGTAATCCTTTTCCGACAAGTTCACCAAGTAAATGACAGGTTTCGAGGTCAGGAACAGATGTTGATTCAGGTATTCAATCTAAAAAGCAAAGGACATAAAAATGAAGGTTACAAAATCTGTGTTCAATTTTTGTTTTAACTGAAAAATTAAAGAGCAAAAGTTCTGGGTTCAATTTAAAAAATCATGCATGAACATCCATTGCTGAAACAGAGTACACATACAGAATAAGGATACTATTTTCAAGTGAAATTCAATCAACTTTTAAATGGACTTGGCGCAGCCACATGAAAATGACTAGGAGAAGAGACCAATAAAAGCTTGGATTTACTTGGATCCAGAGCTAGAATCATAGCAGGCGGCACATATCCATAGCTGCTCATCTCTCCTTTCCAGCGTCCACCTCAGGGTCTTCCTGCTAATTGTCTCCATGAGGAGCTGGTTTGAGACACGCCTGACCACTCCTCAGAGCAAACTTTTTTTCGCTGTGTCCCGCACACACTTTTCTTTTATTGTGCTGAGTGTGTGGGAGTCTGTCTCCTCTTGGTTGTGAAGGCATCCTTGCATCTGGCGATCACCATTGGTGGGTCGAGCATGATTCGGCCATTGGGTGCTGCTTTGCCGGCAAGTTCATCAGCACGTTCATTTCCGTGCACCCCGGCGTGACCAGGGCAGAACACCCATGTAATTTTTAGGAGGTGGCTATTTACAATGGAAGCTCTCCAGTCACTGTAGAGCCACCCACTCCTGATTTTTTCTAGGGTGCTCATCGAATCTGTGACAAACAGGGCATGTTTATACGCCTCCATGCTGATCCATTCCAGCGCCTCTGTTATTGCCTTGACCTCCATTGCCATGCTCGACGTAGTGCACTCATAGGCTACAGACTGTTCTTTAATTATCTTCCCATCAACTCGAGCACTGAACGCCCACCCAGATTTCTGGCCACGCCTCACTGATCCGTCGGTGAAGACAACAACACCACCCATCACTGAATTTTCCTCAAGGATGGCCACAATTTCCGCATTAGTTGCACTTGCTGGCCACTCTCGACCTAGCGTAGCTATCACCTTCATGAAGTTGCTCATGTCTTTTTCCGGCCTTATCCAGTCACATCCTCTTTTTATGTCCTCGATTTCACAGCACATATTGAGAGTTCACTCCGCCTGCACCACCAATGAAGATCCTCTTTTCAATCTTTGGCGTACTTGGTTTCCTATTTTCGGATGTAGAGGGTGACGTTCGTCTGCTGTTACTCGAAGGTAGGCCTTGACTTGTGCTAGCTTGTGTCGGTGGGTTAACGTTGGCAGGTCCAGCAGATATCTCATTGCTGATGCTGCTGTGTCACGGGTGCATCCAAGAACAGTTCTCATTCCTTCATTTTGAATGACTTCGAGGCGATGAAGTTGGGTTTTGGGTAGGGTGAGCATACCAAAGCCATAGTCCACTACAGACAGTACAACCGCTTGAAGCATGATCATAAGGGCGCGTTGGGGCATAGATGCAGCCATCACTCTCAGTGCTACAAGTCCTTTCCTTGCTCTGGTGATAATGTTCGTCACATGGTCTTTTGCCGAGAGGGTGCGGTCAAAGGTAATGCCCAGGTATTTCAATTTCTCTTGCCTTTCCAACTGCGTACCTTGTATATTGACAGTAGGCATGATAGCCTTGACTGCCCTGTTGTTGAGACTGGTCCACAGTACCCCTGCCTTCGTTGGATTAAGTTTTCCATTGTTCTGTTCGCACCATTCACCAATTCGATCTAATTCCTCCTGCATGCTCCTTGCAATCAGCTCCCGATCTCTCCCCTGCCTGTATACTAATACATCATCTGCAAAGCTTAGCGTACGGCCAGGTCCCTCCAATTGATTGGCTGTAAGACTGATGGTGTATATATTGAACAAGACTGGTGACAGGGCCGATCCCTGGGGCAGTCCTGGGGTTATGGTAATAGGTTCAGAAGCCCAGCTGCCAAGGCGCAAGGAAACCTTTCTTTTTAACAATTTTAACAAGGCATTTCCTACCCAGATCACCAATTCAGGGTCGATCTTCATATTGATCATAGTTCGCATGATCAAGCTAAAGGGCACCCGGTTATAAGCATCTTCTAGATCTAATGCGGCGACTAGTGTCTCTTTTCCCTCCTCAAAACCGTCGTATATGTCGAAGGCCAAAATTGCCGCATTCCTCCAGGTGTCCTTACCAGGGCGGTAGCTGCCAAGTTCCACAGGTATCAGATTGTTGCGCTCCAAGAAATTGGACATCCATCTGGACACCATTTTTTCCATTAGTTTCCCCACCGTGTTTTGCATTGTGATAATCCTGTAGGACTCAATTTTTGTGGGGTCCTTCCCGGGCTTTGGTAGGGGTGTAAGATAACTGTCCAGCCAATCCTGTGGAACCAACCTGTCGTGCAAACTAATATCCAGGATGTTTGCGAGACTCTCCAAGTTGCGGTCATCCAGATCCTTGATGTGGGAATAACACACCCCATCTGGGCCTGGTGCTGTGTCAGGTGCCCTCTTAAGTATATTTCGAACAGCCTCCAATGTGACTTTTAACTCTTCCTCTCCTTCCCAGTATCTTCCTTCTATGTCCCTAAAAGCTACCAACAGACAAACAGCTCTGTGTGTTAACCCTCGTCCTGCAGGGGCTGGATTTATGTCGCCCGATAAGCCTATTTCGGCACCTTGCCTTTGTTCTGGTCCTGCGTCAGTCTGGCCCCTGGCTCAGCACACGCGAGCCGAGCATCATCTCCCGTTCAATTCGGGTCCCGTGTCGGATCCGCATTCACGCAGCTCATGTGTGTGTGCGTCAGTCTGCTTGAGTTTGTGTGCACTTGTGGTCTACTTCTAGAACCGCCTGCTTTGGTTCATAATTGAGGCATACATTTCATTCAAAACACACCAAGTTGGTAGCTCTAGATGTTCGTCCAATGAAATTAGAACAAACTGACCCACTTAGACGTGAGGAGCTCGAAAGGATAGTCAGGAAACAAGATTTCCATTTTTCTATGCAAAATCTTTCAAAAGAGCTTGATTTTGTATGAAATGATACTACCTGATAAAAAATAAGTTTGTTAGGTAGTTTTGAATACCATTGTGCAGGTAAAAAAAATAATTTGAGTGCAAAACATTTTAAAATTGACCTATATTATCCCCTTTCGAACCCCAGATCACTCATAACAACAAGAGCGTCTAGAAAGGTTATTTGAATGGGCGTAACTACTCGTAATGTTTTATCAGCTTATGAGAGGGGGTTATTCATGAGTGTGTAACACTTTATAAACAGGAAGCTATAAAAGATAGAGCATTATTTTCATCATCGATTAACACACTCCTACGGTATTCATGGCGAAAACACATGTTTCCAGGCGCACTCGCTGTACACCAACAGTAAACACTGAGTGACCCAGCGGCCTGCCTGGAACGTGCGACGTAATCGGTTGCTGATAAGATTCTCATCTCAGCACAGACGCAGGACAAGAGTTAACTAGAAATGTTATTGAAAGTAAACAATCATGTTTCAAAACACTACAAAAGTTTAACTGAAATCTAATTTGGGAAATACAGTTTTGAAACATGTCTCAGAGGACCATTTCAATTTCGAATTCGATAAAGCAATTTGAGTAATAATGATGTGAAAAGGCTGGAACCAGATAAAATCAGTCCAAAAAAGTACTTCAGTGCGCGTTACAACAACCATAAGAAGAAAAAAACATATTTACCTCCTTTGCATCCCAAGCACTTTGCCGAACCCATTTCTTATTTTCCAGCAGTTCATGCACTTTTTTCAGTACTTCCTGAAAAAAGAATGTAAATACTGTACAAGGCAATGCAAAATTTGTTAATAAAGCACACAAATAATAATCGCTGGGGTTATTTTCTTTACAATTCAAAATGCAAACATCAATTTTGCTTTGTGAAAGATTCTTTTCAATAATCTGCATGAAAAATAATTATTAACTCTAAACAAAAGAATCTAGATGCAGGATATTAAAATCGGATTTTAAAAAAGACAATAACTGGACCATATCAGGCATGAAATAGCAGTATCTCTCATGGGGGAGAAAGCAGTTAAGAGTCAAATCTTTGTACAAAGGCATACGGCACATATGATTTGTAACGAGATATACTCCAATGAACCCCCACATTGTACTGTCAGTGCTTCCAACAGCAAAATCCCAAAATGGAGGAAAAATTGGCTGGGGTCTGAGGGCCGCAGAAGGTCCCCAGTGGGTCCAGGGCAAAGCCCTGGTTGGGGGTCCGAGGCTGAAGAGAATTTGCAATTGAAAAGCTAAAACTTGGTCGTTCTGAGCCTAAAATTTAAAAAAGAAAGAGATTCACACACCAAGTAAAGTCACTATTTAACTTTAACCAGGCCTAAATTGGTAAAAGGAAAAGTATACTTTGTAAGAAAAAGCTCCTCCTGGGGACAACACCTAAATGTGCATGCTTACTCACTACATAAAAAAACTACAAAGCAAGAAATGATAATTATGGGAAAAAATTGTTGGTCAGTCGGAAGGAAAAAAACCCAAAACTTCTGCGACCGGGATTCGATCCCATACTCATAAAATTGTATGACTTCATCAAATGCAGACATGCTGTCCATTCGGCCATCAGAACTTGCAACAGTGAAAGGTAGATTAAGCTTGACATTTACAGCACCGTTTCGGGAAAGGCAACGCAACATAGATCTAGATGTAGCTTTCTTCTTTTTTTTACAAAGGAGAAAGTGAGAAAGTTGGAAACATGGGAGGGGGGAACCACCAAAGAGACGGCGGGCATCGGATTGGCAGATGAGGTGGGAAGAAACTAAAAAATGGCGGACATCTGCCATTTAGTGGAAAATTGGAAGCACTGACTGTGAGGACTATTCACAAATGAAAAAGACCAAACACACAAAGAGACAAAAAAAAGAAGCAACTTTTTGTTTCAAGAAATGCATTCGGTACAAAATTATTGTGTTAAAAATCCTTTATATTCAATGTTCATGTGATATTATTTTCAATATGTCTGCATTGACTTACATGCTCCTCCTTCTTTTTCTTATCCCCACCGCCGCGAGTCACGCTTCTCTCCAGAGGCTCAAGATGCTTGTTGAGGTACTCTATGTCCTTCAGACGTATCTCATCGTGGATGATCTCCAAGTCACGAGATGGGTCAACGTCTCCTTCCACATGCACAATTTCATCATCAGAAAAAGCCCCTGTAAAGAGACAATAATGAATGAAATCAAACAGGACAGACACAATAACAAATAACTGTCCTGTTCCCTTTTGTAGCATATGGAGCAAGACCTATGATTGTCATGTGGTCTCTACATAAAACCTAAGAATGAAAGGGACGACTTCTCAAAGGGTCAACTATTTAACTACTTTGCCTATTTCACAAATTTCCAAATTGTAAAATAACTGACACAGACCTGCCACTCTATGAAATCTAAAAATCAGGATTTTAGAGTAAAAAAATGAGGATCAGGTGAAAAAAATTGGGATCAATGGCAAATCAGTCATAAGGGGCACTGGGGAAGGGGGATCCTGGTTCCCTTTTAATGAGGCAAGTAGGCAAGACAAAACTTTGGCGGAATAAGTTCACGTTTGGGCCTCTAAATAGAGAGAAAACTGAAAGACAGCATATATGTACTTGAGTCAGAGTTGGATAGACTGGGGGAGCGCAGGTTGCAGTAAAGCTGAAACTCTCATAGTCTTGAAAATAGCAGACACATAACTCTAATCATCCATGCAAAAGCCAGCGTTTTCATACAGTAACAACGTTTGACTTCCATCGCATAATATACACTCAAGGCACCCCCCCCCCCCCCCCCCCGCGAAAAAAAATCGCGTCAAGGTTGTTCATTTATCTTTTTTTCTTACTCCTTTATCCTCAATTAGTACCTGTATCACAGCACGCACTTTAAGCCCAAGTGTAAACCCCCTCCCCCGGTCATTCACACTGGTTAAGTCCCGAAAGACACCTCGATCATTGCGACCGGTGCGAATGAACTTTTTTGATCCCGACTGCCGACGGTCCCCGACACATGCGCGCGCTACTCATACGTACAAGGTCATGTCACGAGATGCGAATGAGCGTAGTTAGAAAGTTCCACAGACAGGTCTTGATGATGGACCCGACTAACCAGAACTCAGACGAAGCTGGCTTTTAAAGCAACGGCAGAACAACGAATAGATTATTCTTAGGCCCATGTCATAATTGTTACAGTAATCAGGACACCGTCGGAGAATTCTGGGTTATAAAAGCGAAAGTAGATCTAGAGCATATCCAAGTCGAAATTCCAAACCGATACCAAGTCGATTTTAGTTGAAATAACGTGCGTGAGTCATCTACTAGATTCGGCATAGATTCTTTAGAAAGTAGCTTTTCAAGTTCCTGCCTATAAAAAGTTCAATCGGTGCTTCCAAGCAAAAGAGACTGCAGAAATTTTTTTATTTTTTTTAAAGAACCGGACGCAACGACAAAAAATCAGGATACTGACGATCGAAATTGGGAAAATCGGGATGCTTGAGATTTGGGGTATCGGGATGAGAGGCAGGTCTGCAGACAGTGAAAATTCCAATACAAGTTTCTACTTCTTGAGCAGTAAGTTGTATGCTTTCAAACAAACATGAAAACTTATCACAACAAAACTTCAAACAAAAAGGAAAGAAAGTGTCGAGTGATTTTGCATCCCTGACTATGAGCATAAGAAGTAGGGAAAAAAAGTTCAGTCTACACTAAATGCTGACTTGACAAACATGCAATATACCACTACAAAGTAGCCTACTCATTCTGATAAATATTTGCTTTTCAAGGAAAAAGAAATAATTACACACCACTGACAAAGAAACATACAGAATGGATTCACGGTGTAGCATTACTCAAACATGGCAAGCAAATGAACCTTTGAAAAGATGGGAAAAGAAAGATTTTAAATTATGAAGGAAAAAAAATTACTTACGGACACAATGAAACACTGCATCACAGGCCGAAATGTTAGAGAGAAAAGCATTGCCCAAGCCTTTGCCTTCATGTGCACCTTTGACCAGCCCGGCAATGTCCACAACGTTAAGGAATGCTGGCACTTTGCTGAATACAAAGAAAAGAGACAAACAAAATTAGTTAAAACTGCAATTCGGATCAACACGGACATGAACATGCCAATATCCAGGACTAAAGTAGACGTACATCATATTCAGTGCATGCAATCTTTTATACACAATCTGGTAGTTGCCGTCTATTTAACTAATGAAATAGTTCAACCGTTGCCATACTTCACAGCTCGGTATTCTTGTACTGCAGAATACCAGTGGGAAAGGAGGGGAATGCTGTGGAAAACATGCACAACACAGTTTTATTCAGATTTATAGTCAGATACGCTGACTAATTTCTTCCCCTTCTTCATGTATAGGCACAACGCGTAGCTAAGGAATTGTCAACAATGACAGCTTAACAAATAATCTGAAAAGAAAATGCATACAAGAAAAAGAATTCCCTTCAAATTCCTTCTTCTAGAAGGAGAACTGCTTGTTACAGAAACTATTTTCTTCCACTCACATTCTTTTTGACATTATTACAGTTTGTTTCATTAACAGCATCAATGAAATACCTTTTATCTTACAACCTTTCAAACATAATCTCACCTGACAGGTTCGTAGGTCTCCACTAAGTAATCCCATCTCTTGTCTGGCACAGGCACTCGACCTACATAGTTAAAGAGAGAAAAGACCAAACTTCCACTTTTTTCTTTGAATGCCACAAAAAACAAAATGTTAAGAAATCACAGATTTATGTGTAAGAACAATTTAACACAGTGCCCCCAACAAAAGACTAGCACAAATCTATTTTTCTTCTAAAATCTCATAAATCAACAAAAATAAGAGTTTAATAGGGTAACGTTTCACCCAAGCTACTCCAGTCCACCGAGACCACAAGTTTAAAGGTCAATCAAATCGAGAGAACAAAAACAGCTCAAGAACTAGTTTGGAAAAGAAAGGAAAAAGTAAAAGCATTTTGAGAATAGCAAGAAATGTTATACTACTCACTCTCATTGGGATCAATGGTACAGAATGGAAAGTTTTCAGCCTGTGCCTGACTTTTTGTCAAACAATTGAAGAATGTAGATTTTCTGTGGGAAAAAAATTACAAAACAAAACTGTAAATGGAAAATCATATAATGAGTATCAGATTAATGCAACAAGACATTTTTTGAACAACTGTAATCTGTCATTTTTTAAATATATATTATTAATAAGTCTACACATAGGTGTGTGATCACTTGAACAGTATTGTGAATAAGCTTAACTTTTCCACTTGTATTGCAGTCAATGCTTGGTGTTCATTTTATTGTAAATAGTTGGGTATACTTGCAGAATTTTTCAAAGTTGATACAAGGCAGCTTTAGATCCCAGAATAAAAAAACACACAATATATATATATATATATATATATTGAAATATTTACTAAATGTCACTTTTAACTGACTAGCTTTCACTATCACACTCGTAATCAATCTATGAAATGTCAAAGACAGGAGTGCCACATTTTACACCATTGAGAAGGAAATTCGATATAAATTCAGATATCTTTGTTCAATATAACTTTTGATATAAATAGCAAAGCATTGAGGATTACTGTTTTCCATTTCATGCAACAGAGATACGAGGTCTTTTTATTTTTATTTTTCTGTACATATAACAGTGATGCAGTGAGTAAGAAGTTTTTGTACTTCATCACCTTAACACTACTGATGTGCGAGATCAATTGCAAGTCAAGAACAAACAAGTGATTATGAGGATGACTGCTGCTACATTTTTCATTCAGTTCGTTTACTTCAAATTTTTGTCACGTTTCATGAACAAATCATGCATGATGTTCTCACAATTAACATGCATTACCCAACATTTGGAAGTCCAACAATGCCGATTTTCAGATTTGTTCCAACTCGGCCAATCAAGGGAGGGGGTTTGTCAGCATCATCACCTTTCTTTTTTGGTGGCATCCTGGCAGCTTACTGGAAAGAAACAAGTTTAAAAAGCAATAAATGAACAGACTTTTGTACAGTAGAGAAGCATGTATAAATGACGTATTAGATCCATCAAACATAAAAAATACCCTATCTCCTTTTAGTTTTAGTAGAGGGTTTATGGCACTCGCAACTGCATAAGGTCATATGAGCGCCAAGGGGAGGATGTCAACAGAGAAGTCTTTACAGGGACTTACTCTGCTCACCTCTCTAGCTTCAACAGCACAAGGTCTACTTCAACTATCAAGGCACCCCGGAAATAGCAGGTCACAAGAAGAGTGACAAACATACAAAAGAAGTAGAGGAAAATGACAATAGTAAGGATATGGAAAGAAAAAGCAGCAGTTCCCTGTTGTAGATCAGGCAGTTATGAGCGTGACACGATGAATCAGCCCATTTACAATTCTACTGTGCATGAACGAGAAATGTCGGGGGGGGGGGAGACCGCCATCTCCACAACATTTATAAACTAAACTATCAACACAATATAACAAATCATTCATTTAGTAGTAGGCAGGTAGAGGATGTTCAAATGAAATTAATAAATGTATGGAAGTGCCTATTTGTAAGGCCTCATTGCAAATAGCGCCAGTGTGCTAAATAAAACGCTGTTTGTTATATGAAGCTTAATCTACCTTACGTTGTTGGAAGTTCTGATGGCCGAAGGGACAGCGCGTCTGCGTTTGAAGCCAAACCATTATTTTATGAGCGTGGGAACAAATCCCGGTCCTGGAAGTCTTTTTTTTTCCTTCGTCCTCTTCTCCATTGACAAACAAATTTTTCCCATAATTATAACTTGTTGCTTTGTAGTTTTTTATGTAGCGATGAAGCATGCACATTCTGGTTTTGTCCCCAAGAGGAGCTCTGTACAAAGTAGGCCTTAGTATAGCCTCCTATACTTTCCTTTTCCTTTTACCAATTTAGGCCTGGTTAAAGTTCAATAATGGCTTTCCTTGGTCTTTTTAAATTTTAGGCTCAGGAGAAGAAAAAAACCCCTTCCAGGACCGGGATTCGATGCTATGCTTGGAAGCACTGAACAATAGAGAACGTAGACAGCTTGTATACATACGTTCTCTAGGCCTAACTTAAAGATTTTAGGTAGATCTATTGTATGACGACACTGCGGACAGGTAATAATGCATATACCGAGTTGCACCGTCTTGTTATTGTTATCCAAGAGTCTTTCAACTTATTTGCTCAAACTCAAATGATTATGATAGATGAACAAGACTAGATCTAGATTCTACGTCTAGTCTACTTTAGTGCAAACAATGTCAGAAACAATTTAATTGTTAGATCTAATCTATATCTAGATATATACCCAATTTTGATCGGAATAAGACGTCATAAAAAAAGTAGTCAAATCCTAGGAGGTTTATAAAAAAACTAAGAAAACTTCCACAATTCAGGCAGTACTATAATGTTATTAAGTAAAAACGATGGCTTCAAGATCATCTAGTACTAGCGTTTCAAATAGCATGGGACCTATTCAGAACGCGGCGTTTCAAATGGCACAACAGCTATTCAGAACGCAGTGTTTCAAATAGCACGAGAGCTATTCAGAACGCAGCATTGCAAATAGCGCCTGCCTAAATGTATTTTTTAAACTAAAAAAAGATCATGATTTATCATTCCATTTTCACTCCAATGATTTGGTAGGAATTCCGTGAATTAGATCTAGTATAATTTTGGCTTTGAAAGTAAGACAAGACTGTGGAGACACATTCCCATTGTAGATTAGTATCCAATATAGTTCAATAAATATAAAGATATAAAGTGAAACAGTATAACGAACTGGCTACTTGACTTAGATCTAGAGACTAGAGTCTACTTAGAATTAGAATAAAAAATAAATTCTAGCACTGTAAAAGTAAAAGTTGTGTAGTTGAGTTACTAAGCATGACATAGGCAGAAAGTTAACGAAGTGACTATTTCTCCGAACATTCGGGAAAATAAACTTCATAGACTCTATTTCTCCAAGATTTAGGTGTCATCTTTCATTCTGCCATTCTGCGGGGACTGAGAAGCATTTTTTTGCATCGAATTCAATTTCTAGAGCTAGGGATTTTTAATTGTCTGAATATTCAGATCAGTTGTGATTGGGGTAACATTCCCGGACTATACTTCATTTGAAAATGCCTTCAAAAGGTACAGCGAGAATTTGCATTTAGTCACCCCAAAAGAAAAAACGAAAATCCTTCCTGTAAACAAACAAAAAAATCCCTCCACGCACCCCCCCCCCTCCCACGCCCAGTTGACACCTTATACACACACAAACACATACACTCACTCATACACACACTCACTCATACACACACACACATACACAAACACACACTCACACTACACTAACTCACACACACACATGCGCAGGCGACTCCATTCCCAAATTATCAACAACTCTCGAGAACCATTCGAAGAAATAGAGTTCAAGTTTACTTTCCCTAGCGTTCAGAGAAATAGAGCCGGCCAAAAGTTTATCCACACTTAGTTAGGCCTAGAATCTAGAAACAAGAACTAGATCTAGAATCTAGATCTATCTAAATCTAGAACAAATAGAAAGAGAGAAAATTAAAGAATAGCAGACCACCTGTCGGAACTACTTTTTGGGGGGACTAAAAAATGTCCCAAACTAGATCTAGACCTATCTATTATTTTTGTGACTTTAGCAAGGGGTGAACCCCCATGCATCCACCTTTATCTAGTCTTCACCCCCCCCTTTCTATATTATCATGTGTCTCAACTTAGAATTTTTAAAAAGGAGGAACTTTCCGCATGATCGCGACAGAAGCCCATTTTCGTGAGACACCCACTATTATTATACTGTGTTGGACCGTTGAGTGTTGAAATAAAAACCATTAATTTATCAAAGCACGGCTATTTCATACCAGTTTGAGGGTTTGGAAGATAATTTCAAGTAAGAGTCACTTACCAAATATTTACAATCTTGATTACGTACAGAAAGTGGTGGCGCACTGGTCTTGTGCGACTTATTTAAATATATTTTACCTTTTAAGAACATCATATCGCCTGCATATAAACTATAAAAATGAACGAAGTGGCTAGCCATACTTAAGTACGGCTAGACTGATAGTCTAGCCGTACTTAGATCTGGGTTTGGCCCTATCGACTCAAGCCTGTTTAGTACAAAGGTCTCATTAGATCTAGATCTAGTACTTATTCAGGTTCAAATACATGCAAGTCAGTAAGGCATCTTTTGGTTTTATCCGAAATACAAATACTTTAGGCATTGCAAACTAAAAATTTCATTTATAATTCAGCCATCAATATTAAGTACGGCTAGCCTGACAGTCTAGCCGTCCTTTTAAAGTACGGCTAGCCTGGCTGTCTACCCGTACTTAAGTACGGCTAGACTGCCAGTCTAGCCGTACTTATCTTAGGCCCTATTAACATTAGAAAACAGGAGGTTTAAAATACATGCACTGTCATTAAGGCACCTGGTTTCGTCTCAAATGCAAATATTTTAGGTACTGCACACTAAAAATGTATATTTACAATTCAGTAGGCCTATTTTTTGTAAATGGTCAGTCTAGCCATCATATTAAGAATAAGTACGGCTAGACTGCGAGTCTAGCCGTACTTAAGTACGGCTAGACTGCCAGTCTAGCCGTCATTAAGTACGGCTAGCCTCTTCCAAAAATGAATCTTGTCTTGAGCCTGAGAAAAGGTCTAGAACCAGAATATCGACTGTCATGAACCAGTCTGGGTGTAATGATTTGATAATAAAAGTGAAAGACAAAATTAATGCTCAAACTCAAAGTAGAGTAATAACTTGAATAGCTTGAAAGTAAACCTATTCAGTGTGAGAGGTGTAAGAACTGTGGGAGGGCAAGATGCAGTGACACTGAAAATCTGCGATTCTTCAACAAAAAGCTAAAATATAGAGATATGACTGTCACCCATCCAATGAAACGCGAACACTGAGGCCCCTGCCGTAAGTTCAAATACACGTTTACAAGTAGTTATATTATGACGGATCCCGATATACACACAAGTGAGAACAAATGCACCAACGCACACTTTACTTTGCAGAGAGCTGTAGTAGTAATAAAAATTTAAAAAATATTAATTGCTTCCAATTTCTGTTCTTTTTTTGTCCTCAGCTGTTGCGTCCAGCCCTCCCCCCATCCCCAAGTGAATCTTTTTACTTATTAAAAAATCAATCTCCCCCCATTCCGGAGTCCTGTACTTCACAGCGCTCAGAACGCGCGCAGGTTCATTGATTGGTCACAATGATGAGCCCGACAAGACGCTTGTATAACTTTCTTTCCCCCCCCCCCCCCCCCCCCCTCCCAAAGCGACAGCACAGCGACGACCATTGTTTTCATGGCCACACCACATTTGTATGCAAAAAACTGCACGTTACAAATGTTGCGTTATCAGACTTTTACAGACAAATTTCTGAGATCTTGATTTTCCGGTCGAGCCTCGGTGTGACAATTCCACTTGCCGCCATTGCCGCCTGTTCGCGTGAAACATACTCTCAGACCGGGAAAAGCTGAATTAAATCACAATCGCGACCGGCAAAAAAATGAACTTTTAAAAAGACGTCGGATTTGGTTTTCAAATTTATATTCGAGATCTTTTATGTATTTTCCCGCGTCTGCGATTAAAAAAAAATTCAAGGGTAATTCCCAAGGCCTGGCAGTCCCTCTGCTCCCAGCAACTCTCTTTCTGATTGACCCGCTGTTGCGGTAGCAGAAGAGTGAAGCGGAGGAAATTGATTCTACAGCACTACACTGGACTACAGTACAGTACAGACTACTGACTGGCACTGGACTACTTTTGTGTAGTTTGAAGTTGTAGTGCACTGTCTAATTCAAAGTCCTAATGAACTAGATCTAGATATAGGCCTAGAATCTAGATCTAGAGAAAATCTAGATTTCTGTAATAAATATAATCACCCAGATCAGCAAACAGAAAGCATGGAATGAAAGGCAACAATCAACAAAAAGACAAAAGCAATTATATTACATTCTGATGAAGCAACCCACCGGTGAAAAACGTGTATTCCCCAATATGGCAACAAATAACAAGGACAGTACTTCCGGTTAACAAAGCTGAAGAGTTACATCACTCTCTGGCGAACCTAGATGTTCAGAGTAAGGGAGAGAACCGTAACAAATATTATTACTGAGAAATAGTTGTAAGTTAGACAAGGCTAGGAGGTTATGTAACTTCTACTCACCTCCAAGAACCTTACCATAAATATAATCTTACTATATAACCCCCTTTCTAACAATAGAAACGGTATATTATCGCTGAACCATACAAGTATCAGATATTATGCACACAGAATAATTATACGAACGCAAGAAAATTGAGGTTTATGTTAAGTTAACCGTTACCCTCCTATTTTCCATAAGTATAAGCTAACCCCGCTTGGAAAGACCGTTCTCAGCTAACTGGGGTGTAGCAGTGTAGCTTCGGACAATTCTATATTTTAACCTCGGTCAGGCGCTCCACTTAAAGATCGCCATTCGATTTCAGTGTGGGCAGTGGCAGGGCGCCATTGGTGCAATTGGTGCAAGCGCTCTACCTAACCCTGGCCTTCTCTCTCTAATAGTTCTAAACCAGTCAGTGCTCTAGATTTACATTTGGCCTACTTACTACATCCTTGCGATCCGTCACCCGCTGGCTGCGCCAGTGAAGAGACAGACGGCGAGGATTGTTTATACTCGTCGCACCGCTTGTGGTGGTGTCTGCTCGGAGCAAACAAAACCTTTGCACCAAAGTTATTTTTGTCACTGTAGAGAAATTAGTCATCGTTCTTCCCACACAGGAAGAAAGGTGCATGAAACTGCTCTTCGCAGCACCAATTTGGTGCAAGCTAAAAATTTGATCCAAGTTTCCGCAAGCCTATCTACAACACTAGTAGAGTCAACGGTGACTCCATGAAGAATGGGTATCGAAGCTGTTGTCTCCCTGTATTGTGTATCAAGTCCTGGTGATGCACGAAGTAATTAGATATCTATAAATCTTCTCAGATTGTGAGCATCGTGAGTTGTTAATATTGTTTCATTTTATTGCAGCTTTAATGCGGTTTCATCTAGAAATAGTAGTAAATAAAAATCGATAGATGTAGATTTCGGGATATCCCGAGGATTCTAATTGACTTTCTCTAGAAATCTTAATAGTAGCTCCTAAGCCCTATTGCCCATTTGCCCCCTTTCCAGTTATGCACCACCTTGTCTGCAACCCACACACAACCCACGCGACGCCACTGAGTGTGGGTTGGTTCTAATCGGTGTTTCTGTCTGTCTGCAAATATTGTGAGCTGCGGTATCCTTCTGAGCCAGGGCTGCCGCCCCCCCCCCCACCCCCTCGCTCTCTCTTGCTTTCTTCTCCTCTCTCTTTCTCCCCCACCCTGTCTTTCTCTCCAACCCATCTCCTCTCTCTTTCTCTTTCTCTCACACACACACTCTCTCTCTATCCCTTTCATCTCTCCATCACCAACCTCTCCCACTTTCTGCCGTTTCTTCACCTTTTCTACGTTCTCTCTCCAACCTTCGGCTACTCCGTTTCCCCCTCTGCGTCCTTCCCTTTGAGGCAGAGTTTTAAACATCATTCTGTATGTCATGTCCAAGTTTCTTAGCCTTGGATTGTCTTTTCTTTTTTGAAAGAGGGGGGGGGGGGGGGGGCTTTGTTTTTTAGTATGTTATCTACTTCAACTTAATCAAAAGGGTTCGTTTTCATTTCATACGGATTAACTCCTTTTCTGAGCATGCTTGACCAACATGACTGGCGAGGAGTTAAAATTCAAACCAATTATTAGTCTTGTCTAAAGAATGAAACCAGTCTAAAAAAACCTGTGCAATAGGACCCGTCAACTTCTTTCTGTGAAGCTTTCAGCGAAATTATTTATGGCTTTAGGGCCTCGAAAATACACAATTTGATTGCATCTTTAGAATTTTGGGAAGGCTACGACAATGATGATAACAATAATACATTATCTCTAAACTGCGCCTATGGGTCATCGTGCCATTCTAAAGACACCCAGGTGATCCTCGGGTACTTTTTGATGATGCTCTCAGTTGCTTCGGGATCATTAAGTTATAAGCTTGAGCCAACCCCTTAATTATGCTATGCCAGCTGCTCATGACTCAGATAATTTCATGAATTCCTGATATAGGAAGGCTATCAAGAAGAGCCATAGCAATCTCTATAACTTCAAGCAGTCTGCCTTTATGAAAAAACGCAAATAAAAAACTAAAAAAAACTAAGACAAGACAACCACTTTTCTCCTGGACAATGCATGACAGTCTTGGACAACTTCGGCTGTGTGTAAAAATTCTAATCTAACATCAAAAGTAAACAAAATACTCACACAAAGGAAGTAGGCAACAGCTTTATTCAAGCAAACCTATGTATATCATACACAATTCTTCTTCTCATCTTTCTTAATTAAACGAAGCAGTAATTTCTTGCATTCTCCATAAATTATCACACAGTTAAAACAACAATAGTATTTTCATCCTGTTCCTTGCTTGCTGTTGAAATGTGCCTCCCTTTCATTTCTCAACTGAGCCTGTAAAGTAGTGAGCAGGTCAGCTTCTCAAAGACACAACAACAAGAAATTTGTCTAGACATGATTATGAAACACATAAATTAATCATAAGAAAACACCTAAATCTATATTAAAACACATAAATCTATAAAACAAAACTATTAAAACACTTGAATCTATACAGCTTTCTTGTAAGTATATTTCTGTGATGGCACTTGAAGTCCACCAAGACCATTTAAATTTAATGTTAGTACCTTCCCCATCTCAGCGGGACCCAGAGGTAGAAAACCTGAAGCTGTAGAAATAACTGTGATGAACTTCACCAGAGGGCAAAATGCAAAAGGATAGGTTTCATTCAAAACAGCATATAATTTGGGCTTTTTGGTCTCACTAGGAACATTTTACATCTCAGACAGGTGCTCCAGGTAAAAACTAGGTGTTCTGGCTTTGAGTTTTAGGAGATATATACATATTAATCATGCAAGGTTCTTGCACTTAATTTTAGATAAAAACCAAAACAAAATTTTGAAACTTGAAATGACTCAGGGCAAACGACAATAAAATAATATTTATCACAAAGAGGTGAAGACAACATCATTCAAATATAAATAAACAAGGGCAAAATACTGAGACTAAAAGATGATTTGAACAATTCAATGTCTTAAAAAGCTAATCAAGATACAGAGTTCAAGAACTTAGGATGAGACAAATAACAACAGTAATGATCATCAGACTGCTGCATTGTGCCGGAATGTAGATTATGCCAACACATGTGGTTTTACAGCACAGAGTAGGAATTGTCAACTGATATTCTTTGACGTTTTAATTTTACAGACAGTATTACATTGATTAGTGTGGTATGAATAGCAAATGTGAAAAAATCAGTTTTTAAAGAACATAAATCTTACAAAAGACCAAAAAACACACAAAGTTTTAGAAAGAAACTTATAACATGATAGAGTAAAGAATGTACTGAAAATCAAAGGGCATTCGCAAATGCCTAGACATTCGTTTGATCCCTAGAAGGGTAGTGAAGCATGAAGGTTGAAATGGTACATTTTGGAACGTGTGAGGTAAACTGTATCATAACTACAATCATAGCGCATTCTAACAACCACAGCTTGTGTAGAGGAAGGAATTAAACGATCTAGGTAGCAAGGAACAGGCCAAAGTTCTAAAATCAGAAAACAGGTATAAACCAACATTCAGAGTGCTAGCGATTGCTAAATCTAGACTAATGTAGCACACAAATGTTACTAGTGCTACAGTTCTCATAAAAAGACAGAGGAATGCACGATGCCCACGTACATATTATAAATGAGACATTGTAAATATAGAACTAACTGCACATTCTATCACAACTGTCATTATTTCAGTACTTTTCAAACCATGCAGCACACATATCCAGATGCATTCTTAAACTTCTTCCAATCTGGGAGCCCATATATGGAGTTCATACAAATAAGAAGAAATATGAATAAAAGCACACTCGCGCATCACAAACACACTCACATTAACACACACACACACAAACACACATCTATAACCTATATACAACCCGGGTTCATAAATTCAAAGATTACCCAACTAGAAAATCCTCATCATCTCTAAACTTTGTGCATTCAAAGGGCCATCAACCCATGTACTTTTTTCTTCTCTGTTAAGCTGCGCAACTCCCCAGTTATCTCAACAATCACAATTTTAAAAAAAAACACATGAAAGTGCTATGCATAGTATCAATTATTTCAAATGCCAATGAACCAAAGTGTCATATATTGCACAAATGCTTTTGCAGAAAATGTCTAATTTCATTCCATCCAGAAATGTATATGACAATAGAAAATTCGGCTGAAATCATAACGTGACAATTTAGCTTTATCAAATCAACTGCTGAAAATGACAAAGCTTGCATTTTTTAATTGACTGCTACAGATGACAAAGCTTGCATTTTTTAAGTGACTGCTAAAAATGACACAGCTTGCCTTTTACTCAATCAATCTTGCTAAATTAAGTGTCTCAAAATATTTAATCAATCATTTAATCTAAGAATAATTGTCTATACAAAGCCATCCTGCTGCACACCGCCTTAAAACTCTATGGCACCAAGGTCTTCCAACAGACAGACAAGCTTCTCTCCACGCTCACCACTGTCCATCTGGGAAAGTGAAAAAGCAGTATGAGCTAAATGGCTGACAAAAGATAAAGTAAGATGTGATAAGGTTAGGTAAGGTAAAGTAAGGTAAGATAAGGTAAGGTAGGGTAAGAGGATACTTTATAGTCCTGGTCCACTTATACGACACAAACCACAATAAAAATTGTTCAAGACCACCAAAAGTTGTTAAGGAGAAACACGGTTGTCACAGACATGTGGACGTCTTGGCCAGTGTCATTATATAATTTTTTTAAAAGCAGCATTTGTACTATCAGTATGGTTTTTTAAAATTATTTTAATCGGGTATATTAATAAATCAATATGTATATATATATTATTTTCTTTAAAGCTTAAAAAGCGAAAGTCTCACCTGTCTTGACATTTCAATAGTTGTGAGAAGAGTTTTGATGCCAATGAAGAGCCTGAAGAGTAAAAATGCACAAAAGTCAACAATCACCCCAAAACAAAAATAAAAACAAAAAAGCCCACCTCAAATCTTACTTTACTCATCCATTGTAAAACATTTCAAATTTCCACAATCATCTCACCAACACTGTTTAGTCATTATCAGTGTAATAAGTATCCATCAACATCATTTAGACTATTTAGTGTGAGGGTTGCGACGACCCTGCCTATCGGGTCTAGCCTGGTCTGTGTGGGGTATTGCACTCCAACATAAAGGAAGAACCGCTTAACTCATTTGCTACGTATTATTTTCGGCTTGTGGACGAATTTTTTGTGGGAGGGTGAAATGAGATGGTGACTAGAGCGCAGTTCACAGGTCTTTGGGGCCACAATTCAAATAAATATCAACATATTATGTACCGAAATTTTCAATATGGTTTGTAGAATACATATGTAATGTTTATTTGAATATTTTTAAACTTTGGTTCCTGTAAGAAGCGATTATGCAACACAATTTTGCTTGGATGCGGATTAAATTTGAAAATAAAAAATCAATAATTTTTGGTGAAACTCAAAATATAAGTTTGCACCTTGTCAAATGATACATCAAAATAACCATAAATGAACAAAGAACTGGAAAATATTGAAAAATTTGCAGTTATTTACATACATTCCATAAAATTTGTACATTTGGATCATAACATCAGATATTGAAAAAAAAAAAATTTTTAATCTTGAAAAAAGGACAAGATGCATTCACAAACAGAAAAAATCACTTATATCTTATATGGAATTATTCAGAATTGAATTTGGAATAAATCTATATATGTCTTCAGTGGTATTTTTTTGTGAAGTTTCACATAAAAATTGTGATTTTCAGGAGAAAAAATATTTTGACACTTTCTATCTAGACCTAAACCTAGATCTGAAAAAAAATATTCATTTCTCAACAACAGAGCACTGGCAATTTTAGTCCAATAGTATGAATATTCTAAAAAAGATGCCTACATTTCTTAAGTGTGCAAAAAAAATTAAAAAATTTTGTTGTGTAAAAGTACTAAGATTGGTGTCTGGGCTATAATTTGGGCATTGCGATAAAACAAAGTCGCATAAACTTTGAAATCGCGTTTCAAAACGAAAGCTAAACTTCCGATTTTTTGTGGATACGCTTGACCTGGAAGTCAACGTTATATCATAACCTTTATTTTAACATGGATATGTGGATTGGAATAAAATCTAAGCTAGAATTATAGGTCGGTTCTCGAGCCGTCGGGGGCGGCTTGCCGTAGCGAAGTCACTTTCGCCACTCCACTGCCCATGGCTCGGCGTAGCGAATGAGTTAATAAAATACCTTCCCCACGTGAGAATGGAACCCTTGTCCTCTGTGTGAAAGGACAGTAGTGAAACCATTACGTCAGTCATAATTTCTTAAAAAGTATATGTGCAAGGGCATAATTATAGTACCGGTATAGCCTGTAAAGATAGCAAGTGTGCTTATTAATTTCAATTAAAAAACATGGTTAATTTACAAGTTATCAATAAAGAAAGATAAATATATTTATTATAAAAATTAACATTTTTAAAGGCTTCTTTATATGTGAAGCCTATCTGTATTTTGTTAATCTCATGACAAAGCATGAGTTTTACAACTAAAACTGTTGCGTACAAAATTTATTGATGAAAATTATGAAACATTCAATTGTAGACATAACATAAATAGCTTTGAAAGAAAATATGCTGCTGGGAAAGGGCAAAAAAATACCCTTAAGTCTTTTTTTAAAAAGCCACACCAAATTTCTTTTACCTTTTGTTGGAAGTCTTTTTCTTAATCAAATCAAGTTCAGCATCAGTGAAGGCGTCTGTAGAATCCAGAACATGGATAAGCTGCTCGCTTGTAGACACAGCACTAACGTGTGCTATGCTTTTGAACAGTGGAAGCATGTCAAAATCTTGTAGAACGTCTTTACGAGAAGTAGTGCCAATGATAAGCAACTTGTGGCCCTGTTGAAAAATGTTTGATCATCGCTTGAATTTGCATTAGATTCTGACAAAAATGGTCTTTACTGTACAGTCAAGACAAAAACAAAATACAAATACTGTTATTTATACAATGCTACACATTATAAGAACAACAAAAAAGCAACAATTTCTAATTCAGCTTGGAGACATGATCATAAAGCAATTGACAAGAAAAAATTCTGAAGTATTAATTACAGTCAATCCTGCTCAACAGACAATCTGTCAAAGACAATCACATGTACAAATGAAGACTTCCTACTTCTCCCTTGCAGTTTTATATATTATAGTGACACTGTATAACAGGATCACCTGTGTAAGATGACCACTTTTCTCCTTTACAATGAGTGGCTGTCTTGGACAGGTCTGACAGTATTTGTTTTGAAACTGGCCTCTGATAATCTAAATTCTAAAAAAAAAACAACAAGAAAGCTCCCACTTATTCAGTACAGCTTGAGACGAGACCTATTAAGCTTCTTTCTTTTGTTTTTAAAAATTTAATATACATGTTTTACATCCCTATTGAAACAATTTAGCTAATTTAGGACTTATGTTCATGGTTCACAAAGTCTCTAGGAGAAAGTTATAGAACACAGTCAACACAAAAAAAGGAAAAGGAAAAGAAAATCATCAGTTGCATGGAACCACAAAATGACCAACTTTGCGTCAAGAAGAGTGATACATTTGACACACACAAAAAACGGAGGACAAACTGAACTGACCTTTGGAGGAAGTTTCTTAAGTAGAACCAGTAGCGCTTGCAGCACTAAGTTTGAAAACCGAGGACCAACATTGACATAATCTGAGGAAGGCACAGGAAGAATCATTAGAGTTTGTCACAAACACATATCACAGCAGCACTTCAGCAGATCAGAATTCTATATAATTTAAAATTGTCCCAGATAGCCACCCATTGTCCAAGAGAAAAGTGGTTGTCATAGACAGATGGATGTCTTGAACAGTGACATTATGATATTTTTTTTTAATGGAATGGAGGAAGTGTGAAGTGGTCATTTACACAGGTGACTGTCTTCAACAAATAGCTGCTGGGACAGGCTCGATAGTATATCACAGCAACATTTCAACAGATCAGGACCACTTTTCCATACAATCAAAATTGATTCAGTATCTGACTCTTATCAACAGGGTGTGATTTTATTGTCTCATTGTAACACTAAGAGAAACCTTAGTCTCTGTCAAGGCTTACAGATCAAAGGCTCTGTGGATATACCCCACAAGAGAATCAGCAGGAGAGTGCTGAGCAAAAAGAGAGGCAAGAGGAAATCTAGGAGGAGCAGGTCAGCCAGGAGGAGAAGACACAGGAGCAGCAAGATGAGGAACAGGAGTAGGAAGAGGAGAAGATACAAAAGTAGGAGGACAGCCAACTAACTTTAATGCTACATGAAAATCCTCAGCTTAATTTTTATTTTACCGTGACTTGATAAATATACAACCAGAAAAGACCACAGGAAAATTCATTCACAGCAACAGAGGATCAGTATATAACATTAAGTCAATGACTCACCAAGTAACCTCTCAATGTCATCCATGACAATGCAACTGATGGGTGACTTGTAAGCATCATCGAAAATCTGTCAATAGTTATAAAAAATAGTTTTAGAACAACTATAACTATTATGTTGAAGACTAATTGTGATGAAATAAAACACCAACTCTATTTTCATTGCATGACTGCCAAATTCCGTCTAAATAAAACAAAATGATTATTCTAAGCACTCTTCCATGGACTCAGACTCTCATAAAATGAACGCATTTGGAAAGACTTTGTTTAACCCTTAACTCTTTTTATCCGGGCTACAAGTATACTTGTAACGAGGACCAGTCCGGGCTACGAGTATACTCGGAACAGCGATACGGTCACGTCAAAGAAGCTAGTTCTGCTTGTAATTACCAAAATACACAAATACGGCGATGCTAGCTCTGTCTGAAAATTTTAATTTTCCAATGAACAGTACTGAACAGTGGTTACTTTGTTTTTGATGGGTGTAGAAGCTTGAAAGATGTCTTGAAAACGCACATTCACGACCGACGAAGTACTTTTTGAAGTGGAGCTGGGTTGTGAGGGGGAATGATACTAATTTGATGAAAGTAACTCTGAAATAAGGGCCGTAAATTCCGTTGTGGATGATTAGAAACAGGACTTAGACTCATCTAATAGTGACTCAGATCATGGTGAAGGGGTTAGTATTGGAATTCGTGCTCAATTTGTAGGTCTAGATCTAGATCTATTAAATCCAATGGGTCGTCGTGGGCGCGGCAATCAGGGTCAAGTTCGAGGGTGGAATACACCTCAAAATCTACATTATGCAATTGGTGTAATTCCTAACCACATACATTTACAAAAACTACATTCAATTTCTAACATAACTGCCAAATTTCCTTAAAACCTTAGAGTAAATGTAAGAAATATAGCACTTTGAACTATACGCACTGACTTCCGACTCATACGGCGCGGCGGCCCCAGGACTGGTACAGAGTCCGTGGGGGTACAGCTAGGATAAAAAGAGTTAAAACCCTATACTGCTGGTAACCGCTGACGCCGTATTTTCCTATACTGCTGGTCATCTTTATCATTCAATTCCCGGGGCTAGAAACAGGGGATGTAACTCCAGATGACTCTGTCGCAAGCAGAAAGTACCGATAATGTCATGAGAGCAGTTTTACACCGAAAGTTAGGAAATTTTGTGAATTTGAAAGAAAAATTAGTGGCTTTTCGTTGCCAGGCCCTTCAGGTCACAAAATTTTTGACATTTTTGATCCCGAACCAAACTCCAATGATGATCTCCCAGTTGGATATATCGACAAATAAGGCCACTGAAGACAATTGCAATGTTTCACATAACATCAAGTTTGATTTTGACTAAAGTCGAAGTGGCAGGGGACCACCACTAGAGCTACCAGAGGCTAGATATACACTGAGTCTAATGATGCTTTGACTGAAGTGGAGTCAGGGATCACACACAAGACTTTATTCATAGAGTTGGTCCTAAAAACCAGTGTTTTAAGCTTTCCCCTTTTGTCCAGACTGTATACATTCATATATAAATAACATTTTCAAACTTCAGTAAAATCTAACAACAATTAAAAGACACAGTATATAAAACAATGAACCAACCTTATTTTTTCTACCATCTTAATTCTAATTCAGGATTATCCTGGAGGAGGAGGAGGAGGAGGAGGAGATTGCATTTATAGAGAGAAATAAGAGATAAGATAAGGCTTAATTCAGTGCTCATGACATGACTTATAGGTAAATAAAAACCATCTTGCATTTTTCTCAAGCAAACAGCAGGTCTTTTGGATACATGGATATATATATATACCTTCTTGATTTCTTGACACTTCGCAGGCTCTGTGTAGCCGATCATGTTCTCTGGTGTGCACAGCTTGGTGAAGGGTAAATCTGAGCGCTGGGCGATCTTGGCTGCAAGAGCCGTCTTGCCAGCCCCTGGGGGACCTGTTATAAAACAAAGAAGTTGTAGTTCATCTGAGTATTTCATAATACAGGGATGGAAACTGATTAGTCCAAAATTTACTGAACCTTATTGCAGGCAATACAGATTTAGAAAAATGCACTTATTCAAATGTGGATTAGTACACATAGTAGAATGACTCACCATTAAAAGGACACTTACGCTTACAGAAAATGATGGAACAAATCAAAATTACAGATTTTCGTAAATATACGGAAAATTTCCATCCCCGATAATATACACTGCCATGGCAACGACCAAAGTTAAGTTGTTTAAACCATGTAGACTAAGATTTCAAAAAATGTATTTCTCTTTATTTAATAGCCAAATATTTAGTTTCAGTTTTAGTAAGAATTTTACAGCACTAGCAACAAAAAACAGATCATTTAAGTGCTGAAGATTAGAGGTGTTACTGGAGAGTATCACACAAAGAAAAATCAGAAAGAAACAGATAAGATATTTGATAGGAAAAATGGAGTTAACCACACCAGAGCGCCTACCCAAGCACCTTCACTTCAGTCAAACAGTTGGAAGAATATTCGACACACACTAAACAACAAGGCTAAAGGTGAAAAAGAGAGATATGTGGTCAGCCTTTTCAGTTGCTCATCCTTAAGTACTGTACACTTTAGTAAGCAATAAACACTTTTGTCTGTTCAACAATTCTGACACACTAAAAAACTTATAATCATTCAGCATAGGAACCAAACAATGAATACATAACTAGAAAGTACATTTTGCACATTCACACTTTTTGATTCCATGAGCAGTTCAATAACACAAATAGGTCAATCAAAGTGACCAGTTACCTTCGAGGAGCATTGTAATGAGTGATGTCTGGTCGCTTGTCTTGATCTGTGAGATCACCATATCTCCATCTTGAAGCACTCGACTCACAGACTCGCCCCAGGTCAGAATACCAGAGCTTAAATACTTGTCCAGCTCCTGCTTGCTGCTGCCAAAGGCCTGGTGGAGGGTTAAATAAGGTGGAAAATGGCAGAATGAATAAATGATAACAATCAAACAGACATAGTATTTGCTATAAAATACACCTTATTAACCCTATCCTTACGCCCTGGGGTCATTTTGTACCCCCAGGGTTGTATTCTTCACATTTTAGAATACTTCTAGAGTGAAGATCTCTTTGAAACTTTCAGTATTTCTCAAAAAATCATTTTTACAGACAGCAATGCAAAACGTACGGATCAGATTAAAGAGTAAATTTCCTCTTTGGAAAGTGGTGGCACAGAGTTCCCCATGTTATTTGGATATGATATTAAAACATGACGTACGGATAGGGTTAAATGTTTAAGTGAACAATATTTCAAAGATGAAATTCAAAGGCTATGTTTTATTCTAGCAATTCTATAAGGTGAGTAGAAAGATTGACTATTAGAGGGAGTTTTTTAAAGAAGATTCGAAAATCTTAAAGTACTTTTCACATCGTCTGCAGCTTTTAATTAAATCAACGGTTTAGAGAACAGCTCCACCATATGCCATTTTGAAAAGTGAAGTATAGCAGAGTGTTTCACTAAGCAGTTGAAATGACCCCCCCCCCCCTCCCCACCCAAATCTTCAATAGCAGTAGGCAGTTTGTTGACATCAGCCAAAATAATCAGCAATATATTTCAAGCAGAAAAATTATTTAGGGCAGCTTTTTCTATACCATACTCACTTCAGACGGTTCACACAACAGTTGCGTGACGTCCGCCGTGACAGTTCCCACAAGCCCAGCGTGATCAACTTTGGAATTTTTTTTTTCTCTACAAATGACGCACGGATCGCGTGACCCACCTCGTGCCCTTGTTTGGCCAGGCCTGAGCTACTTAGACTTAGTTTCGTATCTCTGGGGCCGGTAGTTTTTAAGTTATTGAAGGTGAAGGACAGTAACCCCAACTGGGGTTGAACTGACCGGAAATCGCGGTATGTTTTTTCCTATACAGCTGATAGCAATCCGGTAGTCGCGCCGTAGTAACGGTCGAAGAAGTCGCATGAACAAGAATCACATAATTTCGCTGTTTTCAATACTTCTGTATGTTTTACTAGTTCTAGTGTCTCAGAGTGTGATGTGTCTGATAGTTAGGACCCTGGAGATGTACCCAAACACGGCCTGAGTCGTAGTTTTAGGGCTACATCTAGCACTAATACTGCTGTTGTTGTTCGCGCAACGAAATCACAACGTTGTGCCGTACATCTGTCTCATGTAATTCAGTGTATGGGTCTGAATCAACGCACAGCCCAGCTTTTCTATTTTCACCAAACACTCAGTCATGCATACAAATTAAAACAGAACACTTTGAAATTTTCTTTTTGTTGTTGTTGTGAACTTCATTCTACCTGTGACGTCTCTGGAAACTCTTCAGAAAATCAAATTCATGCCAATTTTTTAAAAATCATTCAAATTAAAGTATTAGACTTTGACAACTTCAGTTTTTTAAAAATTAGATTAAGCTAGAATGTTACTTTACTGTGTCAAAAAATAATTGCAATATGGTAATTCTGAAAGTTGTGGTGGTTTATTGAAATACTCCCAAAAATGCCAGTCTTCAACGCTTGTGACTGGTGAAAGGACCAAGTAGTAAGTGAGTTAAATAAGACCAAAATTTGCCATTTTTTAAAAATGCACACAAAGCAAAAGACTTAGAGAATAATTGGATTTGTATATTAGTTCATGTTGCAAGCTGCATCTGAATGTGGGGAGGGAGGGAGAGAGAGAGAGAGAGAGAGAGAGAGAGAGAGGAGAGAGAGAGAGAGAG